GTTTAAGCATTAACAGTTTAACAAATTTTTATTTCCCCAATTTATTAACATCCAAATACCTTGCCTGCTTACCAACCTATGGCTTTACTCATTAGTTTTTAACATTATTTCAACTGTTTTTTCCTCTTTCTCCTCTTTCCAGCTCCTTGTCCTTCCTATCTCCAAACTACCTACCTAAACGATTAGTTTACTTAAAATCAGTGTGATATGCTACATGGATATATTGTCTGGCAAAGTTGTCTGGATTGCTCGTAATATGGAGCTAGTAGAGAAAGTTAATTCCGATAGGGTGTACAAAAAAATAGAGAGTAGACTAGAGATCATTATTTAAAATCAACCATTAAACGTAAGAGAGCCTAACATCACAAAAGGAGGGAGGGTGGTGTATCTGACCAGCATTCATGACGGTGGGGCGATAACCTCAATCTACCCATGTCTGTGTGGCAGAACATTTTGGTTGCTTACGGCTCCTTACGATATAGCAGGGTGTAACAAATCAGTGATTTTGACGTTACTTTTCCTTGTTAACCTCGTCTTCGACTCATGTCTGTCCCCTTGCAGTGGTTTTTACTTCCTACCGAGAAATCCTATTACAAGCTGGTCTGGACAGCTATACTAAAAAAAAGAGCTCATTCATAACTTCTTGAGCCACAGAGTTAAAAATAAAAAGAATAAATAAAATAGAAAAAATTATATCACTGATCCTCATTATTAAATTTTTTAAATGAACATTATTACTTACAACTTGGTTCTTCTGAATTTCCTCTATTCATGCGACTAAATCCCCATTAGTTATCTTACTACTGAATTGTCTTTATTGACCTAAACAAGCTCAGGTGTACAGTTAGTGTTCTGATATTAAAAAGTCTGAGTAAACATACCTTTGTTTTATCCATAAACATATGTGCGAAGCCGTTGTTCGGCTTTGAAAAGAATATTTTCTGTTCCGCTCCTCGTCCCGTTTTCTTTATTCCTCTTTTTTCAGCACCTTATTTCAAACCTCATATATTAGTCTGGATATTTGCAGTAGACTTGGTTACCCTACCCAAGAACATGTGAAATCATTAGCTGGTGAATATCAACTAGACCTTCGTACAATTATCGCATCAATTCTTGTTATATGCAAAGCTGTCTCTACCATGAACCGTTTCGCAGTCGATAAGATTATAGTTGTAACGCAACCTTCGTAACTCGCGCCAATCATTCACATTGTACATTCCATCTATAGGAATCCAATGAATCCCGTGAAATGTTTCAGTAACTGTATACCGTTGTAAAAGAAATATGTTGCTAATCTTAACATTTTGATCTTGCCTGTAAATTGGCATGTCTCTTGTAACATGTTTGTTATTTGCGAATAAATTATTATTAGTATTAAAAAGAATAAGTGAGGCGCGGAAGGATTATGAGGGGACTTTGATTTTTTCGTCGAAAATATGTTTTATCATTGCACCCAGTTGCAGTCGGTAGTGTACATGTACTCTGAAAGGTGGCCACCGAAGGGTCTTATGGTCACCAGTGAAAATAGTGTTGTACTGTTACTATCCGATTCGTGGAGATACTCTTCTCTAATAAAGAACTCTTCAGATATTACTACGTAAGCATCGGCTAGGTGAGCATTCCAAAGTGGTTCAGGTGCAACATAGCCTCACCAATTTGACTTACCCATGTATACGAAAACCTGGTATTTTAACATGGAGTCAAACCCGCGTATTATGTCCCTAGTCAGTGTAGGGCAAACTAATATTTCATGTCAAAACGTTAATAATCGTTAATTCTAATCACGTCTTAGAGACTTATTCAAATGGTCACTATTTTCCGTGGACAGTGCAGAGGTACATCGTTTTTGCTGGGTCTTATATTTCGGTTTCCAGGAACTCTTTCCTCATAAAGGATGCTGAAGCTCACATATCCAGCAGTATTTCAATTCCAAAACCTTACACCTCTATAAGCTCAGGTTTAACATGACAAGAAGATAAATTGTAAAGACAGAATTTGCCAGGGTTTCTGAAATGATTATGACCGCCATCTTATGCACTCCTGTCAATCCGCTACAGTGAAGCATTTTGTTTGACGGTTCAGATAGTCGTCCATGACAGAGTCAGTTACACGTGAAACTCCACTATACCCGTCTGAAATGCTGGCTTGGAAAGTCTAACAGCTACGCTGTATAAAAACAATCAAAATTGTGTAAAATAGGGGGCTTTTTTGTAGGAAAAATGTATATATTCGAAATTTCGAGGTAAACACGATAACAATACCATGGGTGCTCTGAAGAAATTAGATTTTAAATCACTCATTCTTCAATCAACAAAGACTTAATTTGTGCCCGTCATGTAAGTATGTAAAACAAGAGACTGGAATGAACAAAGAACACCTTTTAAATTTAGCTATAAGCAGAGTAAGTGTAAATGTAGTTGACTCAGAAATGGATTATTTGGCTTATCAATGTTAGATAATCCACATAAATTCGGGAGTTCAGAGCTAGTGGGCTGTAACATATTGAATTCCTCCTTCCCAATGACAGTCAATACTTTTGAGAGAACTACTTTTATTATGTAATGAAGATGAAATTTGTTAACAAGTTGATGGCGTTGCTGTGGGACCTCTGTTAGCTGATGTGTATATGTTGAGTGAGATCATCAATGAGGTAACTCTGTACAGTAGATATATGGATGATATTTTGGTTATATGCGATAAAGATTTAAATGTCTCTCGGTTGCTGAATAATATCAATAGTTTTCAGAATGATATTGTACTGACCTACGAAGAAGAAAGTAATAAACAATTGCCATTTCTAGACATACTGTCGAGTCGAAGGAAGGATGGAACTATAAAAAACAATCTGAACTGGACAATATTTAAATTACTAGTATGTATCTACTGTAGCACAAGCGAGGCTTGGTAAAATGCCTCTTAAATCGGGAAAAAGAATATGCATTACACATACTTTCGAAGATGATACCCAACAGTTGACTGGAACTCTTCTGTGAAAAAGAAGAGCGTTTATATCTCTTTACTATTCAGAAGTTAATCAAACGGTTCGATCTTAAGACAGAGACTAAAAGCAGCCATAAAGAAAACATACAACGCAGCTAAACTGGTTGTAACTGAAAGGAGTAAGCCCATGATTCCACATAGACAGATCTGTACTGCCTAGCAGTTCGCTCCGTCCTACTTTATGGCTGTGAAACATGACCAGTGAGAGTAGAAGGTATTCGTAGGTAACTGGTTTTCGATGATAGGTGTCTCCGAATGATTGCTCGAGTATCCTGGCACAACCGAGTAAGCAATGTTGGGAAACGGGTGTTAGGTAAAGATGGCAGATCAATAGATGAAGTAGTGAAACTTAGTCCATGTTACGAATGCCCAATCACTGGGGGTAGGCTGGAAGCAAGCTAGGGCGACCAGATCAAAACATGGCACAAATCCATGAAGTCACTGACAAGTGGACTGAGAGATGTTGATAGGCGTAAACTGCCTGGTTGGGGTTCGCGAGATGAAAGTCACTGATGGTTACAGACCTTAAAGGAGATGGCTCGAGACCGTTCACAATAGCGCAGGTGCATCCACTCTTTGTCTGCTCTCAAATCCTTTGGACTATTAATCAATTTTATCTTTTTTCTTGTTTGTTTCACTAGATTATACTTGTTGAATGATATCTTCGAACCCTAATCTCTCCGATGACTGTTAACACTGCTACTATGGGATGTGAATTGACAGTGGCGTCTCTGTGCTAGTGTGTTATGGCAACTTGAAATGATGTACATACGTACCGATTTCTACGTTGTAGCTGACATAGGTTCATATATTCCTCGAGCGATTATGTCACATTTTAATGGATTTGTCAGTTCACACGTTTTTGTGGAAACATACACAGGGAGCAGTATTCGGGTTACGGAACATGTGTCTAAATAACTTCAAAATCGGTTAACATCGAATGACCCGATCAGAGTGGGCAACAGAAAACCATGTTCATCGATAGCAAAACACAGTCGAAACAGGGCATAGGATCAACACCCAGACAGCTTTTAGAACATTGTGTAGAGATTTTCAAGGACGGATTCTGAGGTTTATAGAAGTCTTGACTATTTGTAAATTCAAATCCTCCTTATGTGTACAGAAACAGTTTGTCATAAACTTGAATTTACGCTGGTAATCTTTAAGCCTTTTTTTTCTGGCCTGACCTGAAAATTCCCTATTCTTTCTATGCTCTATTAATTTTCTCTCTGCTTTATTACCAATCATCATCTCTTGTTTATCTGAACTTTTATTTAGTTAACCTTTTATGAATTGTCATCTAAAATGCTTTGAAAAGTATATGTCAGACTAGATTGTTCGAAACTTACGGTACAAATACATTGTATTTTTCAGATCAATTACGTCTTCTCATGGTTCTGTCAAAATAGATGACTCAGCTAAATTTAGACAAAGTCCCTTGACTTCCAACACAATATACCTGAACTATAAATAAACGACTTAGAGAAAAACCTGAGCTAAGTAATTTTAAGCTACAATAATTATATGCTTTCCAAAGGTGTTTTAATTCAAAGTACTGTGAACACACACTTAATTCATACTACCAATTACTCAGATGACCAAATTTTCTTATTTATTAAGATGAAGCGATTCTACCGACTGAGAATATTCGTTTTGAAGTGTACAGATAATATAAAAAATCTTGTTTGATTATACAATCCCTCAAACTCATCAAGTGGCATTATAACAAACTTTCCAGTAGGTTATATTCACATACGCATATGAAATATTTGAATGTTACATTAGAATGGTCGTTTAGTTTGTTATTTCTATTACACAATCTAGTAGGGTAATAGACAATGCCCATGCATCCCAATAAATTTAGTTGAATTATTTTTAAAGGTCAGGATACAGGAATGAGGAAGTAGATAATGGAATATCGATTCACGGTCTCATTCAAGTTTACTAAAACTTGACAAATAGTATAACTAATTCTTGAATCAAACAATAGAAACACCATCACCACCAACAACAATAATAATAGTAAAATGTGAGAAAGTTGAGAAAAAAAGAGAGATCACAAATACATTTTAATTTATTATACTGAACAAAAAGAAAATTGTATTTTTATATGCTGATCTAAGAAATTTTTAATTAAGTAGAAAAAAAAAATCTGTATGTAGTAATTTAAATCGTCATTGAAAATCTTAATGGAATGAATGAATGAACTAGATGTGTTGGTCAAATATACCATGATTATTATCGTTACTGTTTAGAAGGTAACGGATACACACATACACACACACACACACAAAGACACTAAATTACACAATTATATAATGAATAATATAAGCAATGAACATATTCTTAGTTTGAATCAGAGCAATTCATAAAAACAGTGTATAATAATAACATACAAATATAATCATTTCAATGTAGGATAATACTTAATGTGGTGGTTATTCTTATTTGATGATTTTAGGCAATAAAAAAAAATCAAAGAAAAACAAAAAGATAAATGAATATATATATTTTTTCTCTATTCATTATTATCGGTGTCGGATTGTTTGATTTTGATCTGTAAAGAACAATGAAACAACAACAAAATACATAATTAAGAAAAAAGTTATAATGGAGAAATCGTGCGAATAAAGAAAGAATGATGATTTATGTGGTAGTAGGAGGTTCTTTGATAATTTTATTACTTTCACTGATTGTTCTGGTTGAAGTTGAAGATGATTCTGGAGCTGCTGCTGCTGCTGACGACGACGACGACGATGATGATAATAATGGTGTGACAAAATTTGAGGTGACCACTGATACAGCTGAATTTAAAGCATTTGATATCTGAAACGAAATAAATCATATACATATATTCCATACTATCATTTAATTAAATATTCAAAGAGTTTCAATTAGGATGGAATTTAACTATAAACTAATCAGAAAAAAACTGAATCTGAAAAAGATTGCTGTATTTAAAATCTACGACAATAATCGGAATCAGTGTATTTATTTCATCGGGTTTCCAGCTAACTTTTACAGGAGTGTTCCTGTTTGAAATAACGAATGATCAATAAAGTATCATATACAAATACAAACATTCCATTTTATTATATCAACTTTTAATTCGATTGGCACTAAATCATTTTATTAGTTTTGTATTTAAACAAAAATAGAAGAAAAAATTCTCATGATATCCGATTGGACATCATGAAAGTGGAACGTTATTTATTTTCAAAGGATTAACAAATATTATAAAATTCTACATTAGTTTTAACTACATTGGGCTTACGGCTGAGCTGAGCTGTTTATTATTTGACTATTATTATTATTAAATATATTCAACTGGTTCCTTTATCGTATTCATTACTGCAATTTCAGTCAGTCAGTCAGATGCAACGTAGAACTTCGTACGTAAGTAAATCAGTTCATGTTGCCATACCACATCAGTACAGAGATGTAATTGTCAATTCAAATCCAATAGTAGAAGAGGTAGTTAAGGTATTAGAAGTAATCGGAGAGGTTAGGATGAGAAGATATTATTCAAGAAGTGGAAAAAGTTTACAGAGTTGAAGAAACCAGAAGATTAGGATTTGAGAGAACACAAAGAATAAATGCATCGGCGCCATTGCAAACGATTTTGAGCTATGTCATTCAGGGTATCTAACCATCGATTATTATCATCTCGCGGACCCCAACCAGGTAGTCGACAACTACCGACATGGCTCAGTCCACTCGTCAATGACTTCATGGATTTCTGCCATGTTTTGGTTTGGCCGCCCCTAACTTACTTCCAACCTATTCCTACACTACAAAACAAAGCTCGACGAGGCACTCGGTGGTTAGGCATACGCAAGACATGTCCCAACCACCTCAACTGATGAAGTTTCAATACTTCATCTATTAATCTGCCATTCTTACCTAGCACCCGATTCCTAATAACAGCGTTGCTCTCTCAGGTATCCCAGGATATACGAGCAATGCTTCGAAGACACCTATGATCGAAAACCAGTAACCTACGAATATCTTCTACTCTCACTGGCCATGTTTCACAGCCATAAAGTAATACGGAGCGAACTACTGCGCAGTACACTCGTCCTCTAGTCAGCAAACGGATATGTCGCTTACGCCATAAGTGACGCAACCTGGCAAAAGTCAATCGAGCTTTCTGTATACGAGCTGAGATTTCGTCAGTCACCAGGCCATCGGCACTGATGAGACTCCCCAGATAAGTGAAGCGGTCTACACGTTCGACTACTTCACTCCCTATCACTAGTTCAAGTGCCGATGAAACCCAGTCTTGAAGCAACATTTTGCATTTCGAGGGGGAAAACTGCATGCTTCCATTGTTGCTTAGGGTAGTCAGAAGACTCTGCATTTTGTCAGCGTCTTCACCAAGTGGGACTATGTCATCGGCATATTCTAAGTCAATAAGCGAGCCACCTGGTAAAAGGTCCACTCCTGAAAATTCAGACGATGATAACGTTATATCTAGGAGCATGTCTATGACAAAATTAAACAAGAATTGAGAAAGTGGACATCCCTGACGGATACCACTTGAAGTGAAGAGTTCCGGTGACAGTTCGCCATAAGCTCTGCAATTTCACCTCAGATCATTTATCATGCATGGAATCAATCATTAAAAGAACATTTAAACCTGAGTATTATTTATACATGCTGTACACATAAATAAATATTCAAACAAAAAAATATGTTTTTGATCAATAAAATACTAGTGAAATCATTTGTTCATTTGATTATATACACAGATTTCAAAGCAATATGATATGATGAGAGAAATATACACTTTGCTCTCTTTATCTTAATCATAAAAAAACAAAAAGAATAATCTAATAAGAAGCACTGTTTTTTTCCCACATGAAAAATGAATTAATTTACATGTAAAATTGTTCATTAGAGTAATTATATACAAAAAAAATCAAAAAGATAGAATATGATTGACAGTACAAGAATTAGAGAACCCAATCCCCAATTGCTAATAATAAATTTAAGTTTACCTGAACTAAATGGCAGATGACTTGAGTTTGAATGGATTATTAGATAAGTAAGTAAACAACAATGAAAAAGGAAAAATCAAATTTTTAGCATAAGAAAACGAAAATATAGGCAGGCATTAAAAAAAAAAATAAACCAATAACATTTTAAGCATTGATTTTATGATACTTGATAGTGACCAAAAAATCGGATAAGATTTAGTATTTTGTTGAAAATAGAAGAAAAAACAAACAATTACATGTTTACACAGTCATTGATCATTTTGTATTAGATGGGTGCTGACCTAGATTGAGTGAATTTCGTAGTTATTTAAAAGCACTAACGTATTTGTACTACTGTGAAGTTATATTTTCAAAGGATAAAGCATATCCAAACTTAGATTACGTTTTTATAAATGCAGTAGTTCATGCTTCTAACATACAACAGGTTTTTACAGTGCATTTTTAGACTTTTTATTGTGGTGTTTTATTCACTGATCTTGATGTTTTGGTTGTGGAGCTTTGGTTGTTCTTCTGAACAACATCATTAGCACAACATTCGGACTTTTTATGTCAGTTGTTTATCGATTCGAAAACGATAAGGTATATATTGATGACTTTCATATAAAAGTTTTGGACTATAGCTACTATTTCAATAACTCTTTTGTGTCTAGAAAACATGTAACAACTGAAATCTACCAACATTTATTGTACTAGATATATTTTATTCGGCATGAGTTGGTAGCCGAAATCATAAAATTTGATTGGTCTTCTGCATAAGAAATCTCAAACAACTAGTTGATCTGTTGTATTTGTAAACAGTTTAAAGATCGATTCAATTCACAATAATGTCCAAGTTATAAAATTAAACAAAACAAGACAATCAAACGACGAACCTAACCTGTATAAAGTTAGTTCTGTTCACCGAACGATCCACTGATGTTTGTAGTCCAAGGTTTCCTTACATACACACTTAGGCACATTTTGAATGAAAACTTAGGCACATATATTACTAAAAAAATGTTTGCTTTTAATTTAACGATAAAATAATGAATGCCATTTGATCTGTTACAAAATAATTGTGAAATTAGTAATATGTAGACATAATGAGATAAACAATCTAAGAATGTGAGCAGAACATTATCAAGAACAACGATTAAAGAATGAAATAGTCATAGTGCTTGTAAAAATATACGATTGCTTGATACTCATGAGTTCTGTACAACTTTAGAGTGTTATTTTATTCGTATCAAAAAAGAAACATCTTTTAACAGACAGAAACTAAAATTGAAACGATTATAACTGGCAACTGTTTTTAAGATCGAAGTTAGCACAAAAATTCTTCCTACGAATAACTATTAGTAATTAGGTTCAATAAGAAATATTAAAAGTTCTCATAAGAAGCCATGATTGAAATGCAGTTCAACTACGTAGTAGTAGAAGTATTAGCGGTAACGCAGAAGATTAAGGATCGAAGATATGATTGCAGAGGTATAATCCAATGAAATAAATTTAAAAGACGAAAAAGCGGTCATGAGGAATTCAGAAGATTAGAACTTGAGAGAGAACACAAAGAATGGATGCACCTGCATCATTGCAAACGATTTTGAGCCATATCATTCGAGGTCTCTAAGCGTCGCTTAATACAATTGTCTCGCGGACCCCAACCGGGTAGTCTACACATACTAACATGGCTCAGTCCACTTGTCAGTGACTACATGGATTTGTGCCATGCTTTGTTTTGGCCGCCACTAGCTTTATTCCAGCCTACCCCTACCCCACCAGACAGCTCGTCGGTGGTTGGTCATACGTAACACATGTCCCAATCACCTCAAATGATGAAGATTCACCACGTCATCTATTGATCTGCCATCCTTACCTAGTACCTTTTTCCTAACCGAGGTAAAGTAGAATTTAAGCTAAACTAAAGGAGTAATTATGATAAAGAGAACAACTATGAATTTAATCCGGAAAAACGTCTAACCGACAAAAGATAACTTCAATGGATAAGTTTACTGTTCAGTGTACAGACGATAATGATAACACAATTAGCTAGCATCATAGGTACAGTCTATATGTTTTTACTAAACAATCAACTAAATACCATATCAAAAATGTCAACATAATAAGATAAAATAATAGATGGAAACGGAGAGTACAAGTAGTAGAAATGAAAAAGTCAGTTGAGTACGAGTACAATATAGTTAAACTATTGAAAAAAATATAGCCTGTAAAAGGCTAGTCAAGTACAGATGGATATTCTAAAGTCTAATGATATTTAAATTACCGTGAACTATGTTTATGAACAAAAAACAAGTTCTTTAACATTAAAACAATAGATACGCTTAATCTTCACACTAATAAGTGGTACAGTTTCATTATAGTACAAACAATGAATTGTAAGTTAACCAATCAAAATATGATATATGCATATATGCTGAATTCAACTTACTTGAGAAACAATAGAATTTTGATTTTCAGATGGTTTATTACTATTTCTATGTGAATTACTTTCATGATCTTGTGATAATTTATCATTATCAATAAAATTTAAATTTTCTTTAGAATTTGTTATTGACTGAGTATTTTTATTTAGAGTAACCGAGTCATTCGATTTAATAGTGTTGATTGTAGTAGATTGAATTTCACGCCTTTTAATTTCTTCATTCCAAAATTGAAAGAATAAACTTGATAAATCTTCTAATCGTGATTGTCTCAAAGGTTGTAAATCATCACTTGAACGTAAATCACTATAAAAAAAAAGAATACAGGTGGTAATAGGCTTTATCAATGAATAAATCATAGTTCTTGTTCAAAATAAACACAATTGACTTCGTTTTTAGTTGATTTAATGATGAAATTACATGGAGAGGGATTTAAACCTGGAGCATGTTTGAAAATCAAATACTTTAAGCTTTGATTAACTCCTTCACATAGTAAGTAGTATAGTTTTATCTTTACAGATTTAAATATATTTGACTCTTTGACTGTATTGGTTTATATACACTGAACTTGCAGTCATATGTTCATTTTAAATCAATTTAGTTAGTTAGTTAGTGGCAACGTAGAACTTCGTAACTATGCACATAAGTTCATGTTGCCATACCACATTAGCACAAGGACGCAGATGTCAAATCAAATCTCATAGTGATAAAGATAGTAGAAGTATTAATGGTAATGAAGAAGACTAGAGTTTGAAGATATAATTCAAGAAGTATAATTCATTGAGATAAGTTTAGAAACACAAAGGTAGAGGTTCTGACGAATCCAGAAGTTTAGGATTTGAGAGAGCTCAGAGAATGGATGCACTTGCGCCATTGCAAACGATTTTGAGCCATGTCGTTCAAGGTCTCTAACCATTGGTGACTTTCGTCTCGCGGACGCCAACCAGGTAGTCTACATCTACCAACATGACTCAGTCCACTTGTCAGTGACTTCATGGATTTCAAATCAATGCTTACAAAGTAGGCATTAGCTAATAATCTAAACAAAAACTAAGTAAACTGACAAAGAATAAGCAATATTATTACCTGACCAACTTTCATTATTTTTGGTGTGTATCTCTCTTTATTACATCTGGCATGATTGAACTCAACTGATGATGGTTTTCTAATAGAACTACGGAAATTTACTCTCAGCGATAGTCACTAATGAGCACATGACAATTATCAGTTTAGGATTGTTAAATGCGATTGAGATCGCGAACTAACCAATGTGAGAGACCGATTCAAGTCCCAGGTTTATGGATGAGCACTTGTGCACAGTTCAATATCAAGAGGAAACAGTTGTTCAGTGACTTCAGGTTTTCAATGATTGTTTAATTTAAGGAAATTTTGAAAATTCAGAAAAAAAAGAGCTATACGCTCTTCATTTTCTACATCAACCAAATTTTCGTATAAATTCCAGTCCTCACTAATTATCTCCATTAACACAATAGATTAGGTAATGCAAAACAACCAATTTAAAATATATTTACACATGTCATATGACTTTATTTGTCAATTGTAGGGTTCGGAAAACACAGCAGCTTTTAGCCTTGTTTTTTTTTTTTTAAATTCAATAAACATGTCTTATTTCTAGTGTTTCGTTTTACACCAGGGTATATAATTATGCATTACTTGTGATGTTGGTCATTCACATTAAGAAGGACGATTAAGCATACAAATTAGACAATGAGAGAATTGATTCTTATAATTAATAGAAAAATTCAGTAATAAATGAATGTTCCTATAATGTATATTCTGCAGCCATATACATGTATAAAGTCGAACAGAAAGCAACTCACATAAATGAAGAATCATCCGAATCTGCATAAAAAATCAAAAGAAAAAAACTACAACATAGAAATGAGTGAACAATAACTAAACACTAAAAAGATTAATCCAAAAAAAAATTACAGTCACTAGAAATCTGGTTGATGCTTATGTTAAATATTGTCACACACACAGTGTATTTGCTAACAGAAAACTTTGATACATGAAGTCCGAATAACGATACGATGGACAGATTGGTGAATATTGTATACATAAATAAGAAACACACCTAAGGAGGCGGCAGCAAAGTAAAACATACTGGCAAATGTATCATAGAGATCAAATAGAACCATTGACTTTGGATTAATAATTTTATGTAAAGTCACATGTTTAAATGGAATAACAAATTATTAACATAAAGGTTTTCGGAGATTATTGGATTTCATGGATTAATTTTAGTTAGACAACTCTATCAAACATAAGACAAACGGCAATGTATAATAATTTGCAATACTACGAATTGGTTGCAAATTAGACATGAAAGCTATTGGATAGAGACTCAGTAGTTCAAAGGTTAGAAATAGGCCAAAGGACCTGAAAGTCTTAGGTTTGATCTCCGGTAGGGTCGTGGATGAGAATTGCTGAGGAGCTTCACACTAGAACGAAACAACTATCCAGTGAATTCTGGATTTTAGAGGTGATCTAAGATAAATCAGTTGTAGGAAAATAACAAATGATTATTGAACTGGTACAAACATAATCAATAATCACTAAATGATGATATTAGAAAATTTTAAGGTGCCTAAAATAAAAATTAATCGACATTCAGAGTATTATTTTTGACTAGACCACACAAACTGCGAACCAGAAATTTGGCTGCAGTATCCTAAATTGGATTATTAATGCGGTGAAGATGAGGGGTTTACTTGAATACGCATATTTAATCCGATGTTTTTATATATTTATTCACCCGCTACCGAACTCAAAAAATTCAGGTTTGAGTGTGAGTGCATTCCCATTTAGACTAGAATCGAAATCTCGTAGATGATGTTTCTCAGTCAGTCAGTTACAACGTAGAACTTCGTACGTAAGTTCATCAGTTCAGGTTGCCATACCACATTAGCACAGAGACGCAATCGTCAGTTCAAATCCCAGTGGTAGAGATAGTAGACGTATTAGCGGTAAAGGAGAAGATTAGGGTTCGAAGATTTTATTCAAGTTGTATAATTCAGTGAGATAAGTTTATGAAGAGAAAGGTAGTAGTGATGACGAATCCAGATGTTTCTAACATTTATATAGACTGAATGACTTGAAAGTTTACAAATGTTTAAGATGAAACTGTTTACATTTTCATTGAGATTTTGTTGAGAGAAATAATGAATTTGATAACAAAACACTAGTCGACATATATGTACATCATAATCTTCAAAAACTATGTTGAAATACTCGCAACTGTAAACTTCTGACCGTTATAAAGGCGATTTTCACTAAATTATGAAAAATGAACTTATAACACCTATTATTCTGTAGGGTAGACGTCGAGAACCACGATTTGTGAGTAATTAACTCAATACTCTTTGGAGTCATACGATGAGTTTAAATTTTGAACGTTGTTCACTAAAATTCAAGGGTAAATGGTGCGATGTAAAGTAAGGGAAATAGTAAGTCAACAGCTTAGCGATCAGTAGTAGTTAGGAGTTTTGCCTTTTCCTACTATACTTCATTACAACTATCATCAAAATGGATTATTCACACAACAACTACATTACCTTGAGTATGTATTGAATTTGTAATTGAACTCAATGCAAAAAAATTGAGTCTACAATATCCTATAACATTATCCAAATTCTAATTCGAAGTACTAAGAGTTTATTAGACCAAATCTCGTGTTATCGCAATCGCATAAGCACATTGAAGCGTTTACCGTTGAAGGATATTTGTGTAGAGCTACTGGTTTGACAACTTCAAGTCAAAGGGTAGTTGGTAAGACATTTATCATAAACGACTTCATGAGATAGATTAACGCGTTTGGGAACAAAAAACAAATATTATGGTGGAACAACTTGATGCTTATGGAGAGTCAATAAACTTTCATTGCACCAGTTTTTCTTGTACTTACTTTGAATCATAGGGAATTGCAGTGGTTCCCGTTTCTACTTATAAAAAGTAGGGTTTAGGGACTGCTGTGGTTCTCGATTGTCAAGTAAGAGTAGTAGGACAACGGACGCAGCAGAGTCGATATATACACAATAGCAACGATACACATAGATATAAAAGAGAAGACCGCTCAAAAATATCACGAACTGATCTTAGTTAGACCACAACTGCGAAAACCTGGGAGCACTGGATGTTCATTTCGTCCTAGTATGAGGACTCTTCTGCAGTATGTATCTGACTTAACTGAAAATAACAGCTTTGCAGTTAGCATGATAAAATGATCTGACATAAATCCGTTATATATCGAATGAAATCTCAGAACTGTTGCACAAGTGAGTGACTATCTGGACTTAGTAGTTAAATGGTGTTTGAAGTAAACAGTACTGAGTTCGAGTCCCAGGATGAACATCAATTCTGAGATGGTGTTTACATCTAGCTAAGGAGTCTGAAACAGGACAAAACGTGTGTCCTGGATTCCACTGCTAGTCAACTTCCTTCAATTGTATAGAATCCAGTTATGTCAGAGTTATTCGTCTGTTTTGGAGTAAAAAAATGACAGTAGTCATACTAGAAGCTAGTGGATTTATCAGAATTCAATTTTTCAATATTGAGAGATGATTTAATGAATAATAATGACGATTCTATTTATACCACTCTTAAAAACTAATTTAAAAGCTATAACCAACCATTAAGCCTTGACCTCAATTTTTCCTCATGATTATTTTCTCACGTAATATGATGTTAAAAAAAAGAGAGTTGTGTTAGATTGTTACTATGTTTAAAAGAAACTGTATGTTCTCAAATGAATTAAACTCAGCTTAATTTAAAACTCACAATGTAATGATAATCCATTACATTTCGAGTACAGGAAATATGTGTAGATCATAATCTTAAGATTCATAATTATTTTGATTAATCGAAAATTAAAAAAAATCATACATCAAGTGATGAATTGATGATAATTATAAACTGAGAATTATGAAGTTTTGTGAAACACGATTAACTAAAGAAATTAAAAATTACCTGAACTTTTAGACCCATCAGTAACATGGATATCGTAGCTGAAAAGAAAACCAAATAAAAGATAAATCAATCATTAACATAGCTCTAGAATAAGATATTTACTTCATCGACTGATCTTATTTAGGAAACTGATAAAAAACCAGGAAGCATTGGACAGCCGTTTTGTGTTAGTATAGGACTCCTTAGTAGAGCGCAGTCAGTCAGTCAGTCAGATGCAACGTAGAACTTCGTACGTAAGTACATCAGTTCAGGTTGCCATACCACATCAGCACAGAGAAGTAATTGTCAATTCAAATACAATAATAGTAGAGGTAGTAAGGAAATTAGAAGTAATCGGAGAGGTTAGGATTAGAAGATACTATTCAAGAAGTATGATTCAGTGAGAAAAGTTTAGAGAGTCGAAACTAGAGGTGTTGAAGAAACCAGAAGATTAGGGTTTGAGAGAACACAAAGAATAAATGCACCGGCGCCATTGCGAACGATTTTGAGCCATGTCATTCAAGGTCTCTAACCATCGATTATTATCATCTCGCGGACCCCAACCAGGTAGTCGACAATTACCGACATGGCTAAGTCCACTAGTCAATGACCTCATGGACTTGTGCCATGTTTTGGTCTGGCCGCCCCTAACTTTCTTCCAACCTATTCCTACACTACAAAACAAGACTCGGCTTAGTAGAGCGCACTCACAAATCCACAGTGGATAGAACTAAAAACACTGAATCCTGGTGGCGATCGTAGTTCCCCACTAGAACTTCAGCAATTCTCTCAAAATTGACCATTAGTGGGGACATGATTAATATTAGTAAATGCGGTTTGTGGAGGTTCATGAAAGACTTGAATAACCTGGGTTCTATGCTCACCAGAGTTGTGGATCTATACTGACGGGAAGTTCCATACAAAGATGAAGTCGTTTAGTACATTATGGGTTTTCAGTTGTTCTTTAATTAAGGTCAGTTGATGATGAAAACTACAAAATTACATAGCTGACAGAGAAATGCTACGAGAAATAATAATCAAAATGAAAATTCTACCGATCTACATACACTCTACGAAGTGATAATTCTGTACATTTAGCCATTTCACCAATAAACTGAAAAGTAAATCGGAGTATTTCTTCACCCAATTCCATACGTGTTTTCAATTTATGTCCGAACAAGAACCAATCATATCCAAGAGTAAGATATAACATTTGAATAGGTGTTAAACTACAATGCATTAAATCATCAGCCCAGAGTAAACAACGAAGTAGACAAATAAACAACGGTGTACGATCCCATCCAGAGACACAATGTAACAATAGACCTCCAGAACCTATCAATAAGAATAAACGAAAATTATGAATTAAATGGGAAATTAACTTAATAGATGAGAAATATAGAAATCAATAATTATTTACATCTAATTAAAACGTAGACGGTTGTATGGGGCTCCTATATACAATACAAACTGTAAAGCATTAAATTATGTGCTAGATAGCGTTATGAGTGCAATTTTTATAACCAAATAAACTATGTGTACTTTCACTCAGATATCACATGTTTCAACAGTCTTAATTAGTTAGTTAGCTAGATGTTTAGGTCTATATAATAATAATGTTTGAAGCTGGTTAAAAAATGCTCTAAGTTGAAATCTATTTTTGCATTATGCCTAGAATAGTATATAGTTAGGTACAGCAAAAAAATAGTCACGTAACTAAAACAGTTTTATGCATGGGTTATGGGAACGCTAAAACACTCGAAAAAAGTTCAGTGAAAAAATTGGATCGTTCAAAACTACTGAACATTTATAACTGTTATTTGTTAAGTACAATTTTAGAATATGAGGTACAAAGAAAAAAAACAAAGTTTGAATGATTGCTCCTGTCATTATTAATTTCATTAGTAATGTCAATAATTTTCACCCTTCATATAATTTGATGTGATTATTTTTTCTAGCGATCAACAATTATATTGGTTTATTGAGATGATAATCACTAATGAATGCATGTTTGTAAATTGTTTATATTTGAAAACATTATTATAAGTCATAACGTTTATAATTTTATGGTAGCGTTAAATTTCAGTATATTCCATTAGAGAGGAAAACGAAGATCATGTTGAAATACAAAACTTTTAAGAATACTGTAGACGTAAATATCATAAGGTTCCACAAACAAGGAATGATAATTTATTAAAAACCCTTTGAAACTTACATTTAGTTGAAATACATGCCAGAAAATTTACTGACTTAGATAACTGTAATCAATATAACCGATTCAATATGATGGTTAAGAATTTAAAAAAGAACTAAGACTATTCAGAGAGGAAAATGAAATAAAATGTGAAGAGAATAGGTGTCTAAATGACGAGTATGAGAAGGGTGAGAGGGAAATTAAAAAAACATGATGACAATAATTACAATTAGGAAGATGTGTTTGGAAAGCGCTCGCTTTGTGAGGTCTATGTAGGCTGGTGGTCTACAAGGGCAAATAAACTTGAGAATACAAACTGTGACCAGGATAGAGAGCTCGCTCTCAACAAATTCACAACTCATGGAGAGACTGAAAAAACGATGACGATCTGAGTGTCATAGAAAGTTTTCCCGACGAATTTTCCAAAACGATTCTTTGAAATGTCTGCAGCCGTATGTCCCTTGCACTCAATGTTTACGAATAAAACTTTCTTTGGAATTGTGTAAAGCCGCATAGATTGTAATCTAGGTTTCATGTTACACTCAGCGAACCTAAATGGATAGCCGTTTTTAGGAGTATATGTAAGAGATTGAATCGTTTATCGTCCACTGCATTTTCCGAACAAATTCGCCTAAGTCTTGAATTAAATTTCTCTTCCTACCCAAAGGGACCGAACTATGAAAATATGTATATTGTCCATTCCATGTGGGGTTTTTAATATTCATACCTTTGTGATGTACCATAATGTCTTCGAATTAATAAGATATTGAGGAAATGAAATTTCGAATTTGATTCTCATTGAACTGTAAATCTGTTGGATTGATGGTAGCTGTTGAATATATCCAGGATAAAATTAACGTTAACGTTTTCATTTCAAGTAATAAAAGTGTCATCCATATATCCTTCGTATAAATGGAAGGGATCACTCGTCGATTTATGTATCGTGCTCTCAAGATTAGCCAAAAGAACGCCGAAAAGTGAACCCATAGCGACGCCAACGTTTTGTCTGTAGAATTCATTATTAAATCTAAACTGGACATTCAAGGTACATCGTAGGAGTTAATTGGAAATGAACTACACATACGATTGCACAGATTCAGTAAATGATATCATCGAGAAAAAACATTCTTTCGCTGAACTGTCATAATTCTTTTATATCCGTTGGTTACTGATGATTGATTTTATGATATTGTAAATTTATATTCATGCAGTAGGTTATTGATGAATCAATGTCAAGGAGTACTTAGTTTAATTTATGTGAATCTGGCTATTTACCAATGTGAACAAAACACAAAAAAGTTCAGTTTAAGTATAGTTCTAATATATTTTAACTGTCACCTGTCGTCTCCGAATCTCACTTGTGTTATGTGATTCACGATTCCTAGTAATCTGTCATTAAAATTGTCAGTGTGTTATTTTGGTGGTCAGTTTTCTTGTCTTATGTGAACAGTGTAAATCACAATGGTTACCTGACAAAAATAACCCGGTATTTCAAAACTGCAACAGTTTCCTAGTTTCAAGCATCGGTAGTTATTGTAGTTACAACAGAAACAAATCTGTATTTAGTCGAGGCATACACGTTTCATTTCTTATCTACTAGCTGATTAATACTTTATGTTTTAATGCTTGGTGTATTTAAAGACAACTTATATTTTCAGTTTATATAAGGAGCTGACAAGATACATGATTGTAAATAATTGTGTAGAAAATGCTTAAAAGACAATTTAAACTAACTTATTTGACTAAAATTATACGAATTTAATGGTATTGACAGTTTGTTTCTGATCAGTAAATTCATTTACTGAATGAGATCCACAATAAAATTAACTGTAATAAGAAGTAAGCAAGATTAAGCTTAATTCTCCAATATATTTCGTTGTCCTTGAACACGTCAGTGTAATTACCGTCATATCAATGCATACTAATATGGGGAAAATTATGAAATTTGGATATGTGCAACATAAAAAATGACTAGAGAATATTTTATACCTGTAATACCTGGTTAAATCAGCAATTAATACGGATTGCGAGATTCAATTAATTGGTTATTCAAAGAAATAATAAACAACCATTGTGGTGGAGTTATGGTCTCTCATCTGGATGTTTTGGTTGTGGATCTTTCATTGTTCTTCTAAACAACATCATCAGCACAAACTTCAGATAGAAGTGAAATATTCGAATTTCTCCACGTTTGACCAGTAGCTTGTTCTATTAAACTCTATCTTGATTAGTTATTATTGACCTTAAGTCTGTGGTTATTTGCACTTTTATTTTGTTTATATCAACCAATCAAGATTGAGGTTAACAAAACAAGCTACTGGTTAAACGTGGAAAAATTCGAATATTTCACTCCGATCTGAAGTTTGTGCTGATAATGTTGTTCAGAAGAGCAATGAAAGCTCCACAACCAAAACATTCAGCTCAGAGAACGAAACTCCACTGCAATCATCCACCTGGGCTACAACCATCCATATAAATACGCACCCAGGAAGTAACACCAAAATTACTGATGATAATCAATTATGTTCCGAATTAGTAAAGCAAACTGTTTACGAATTCCAAAAAATTCTTAGCGCCGATTTGTTTGCATGAACTGTTTAACAATTAAAAATCTCCTAAAGAAGATGAAAGATTTTATAGAAATAAGAGTTTCACTGAAAGGATGAAAATACTAAGTGTTATATTCCAAGAAAATTTTTAACGAAATCCCTTTGACATAGTAATTTACACTATATATATAGTTTCCCAGTCTTAGACGTTACTTTTTGGGTAGCCACTGTTGCGCAACTCTAGTGATTTGTAATGATTAGTTTAAAAAGAACGAATATTTGAGCGAACAACTATTTTTAATAACTTTATCGTTAGGCTATAACATTTAGTTATTAATCCATAATTAATGAATGCATTACAATGGCCAAGACACAGTTTGCCTAAATAAATGAATTACATAATGTTATTTGTTCAATTAGAGAACTTTCACATTCATTAAGGCTTAAATAAATCGAAAATGTAACATTTGTCAATTTTAAAGGTTATTTAAGGACGGAGTAGAGAAATTAATTTTAAAGTGTTGAGTTACCATAAATATATTTTATAAAATAAACTATTTGAATGAAATATGCAATGTGTGGGATAAATGTTGTCCAGATAGTTATGATAACGAATTCATTCATATAAATTTAGTAAGATGAAATTAAGAATAAGGCATGTTAGGGAGATTAACATAAAAAGCAGGTGAGGGGTTGGGAGAATAGCTAACAATATGTAATTTGTGCATGGTAAGTCCAACTCATTTTTAGCTCGTTCAAATATTTTTTTGTTTTTGAACATAATACAAAGAGCTTTGCACTATCAGTTTTTTTTGTCTGGAACTGGCTTCAGTTCGAGAACAATTGAAAAATGAAAACCTGAACGGCCCTATGAACGATGGGTGACGAGTAGTTATTGATGAAAAGCTACAACTTTTATGTTATTTCAGAACGACAATTGTGTTCACATTAAGTATCAACGTATAAACAGGGATTGGTCAGTTTAGTTGAAATTATTTAATGTTAGGATAAGACAATTGAACTGTGGAAACTGCACGGTAGTAAATATTTTGTCATTATGAATATAGAATTTTTAAGTTACATGAGAAAATAAAAAGTTACATATAAATATATTGAAATTTTTTTATATTGTTTCACAGTGTTGTGTATTCAGTAAAACGTGGACGTGATGATGTGGTAGAAAATTCGAGCACAGATACATATGTACTACCCATCTTAGTGACCAAACCAACAAATATTCGCTTATCAAATTACAAGTATGAATCACGCTCCAACTACATCGGTAGCGCGGCCCTCATAAGAAGGGGTTAGCTGAAGACCGTGAATACCAACGCCTACTTAGTTGACAAACTAAAAGTAATTAGTATTTAAACGGGAGCAAATAAGAACAGGACATGGATCTGAAATGAAATAGCTAAGATTTGAATTCATAAGTCAGTGAGTTTTTAAATATCATGTTTTAATAATTTTAGAGGTTGGCTTTTAGTTTATATCGCTTTTTTTCAATGATTAATGATTCTGATGTCATTATTATTTTACGTTCTGTCCTATTTAATACAGGTAAATTGGTAAAATTTTACTACTTTTAGAAACACAAAGCAGAAAACGAGAGTTTAAAAAACTAAATGACTTTCCTAATAAATAGATAACCTAGGTAAGATTATTAACTATTAGCTAGGTATAAGTTTATGTACTCGACATTCAGTCACACAATTCGAGTGGAAAGCAGCCAAACTATTCGGCTACTCAAAATTAATAGGAAGGCTGGGGTTTGAAACTCTGTACAAGTTTCATTGAAATCATATATAGACCAATGCTAGACTACTATTGAAAACCTCAAAGCACTGGACGACCAGTGCGTCCTGGTAATGGACTCATTATAATGCACATCCACGACTCCCGAACGCGGGAATTGAACCCAAGGCCTTAGGTCTCGTGCACGAGCGCCTAACCTCTTGACTACTGAGCCGGAATCCAACAATGTTATGGTTTAACTTCAATAAATCCACGGTACTGAGTGGCCTCACTCATTGTCTTAAGAGGGTAACCGCCTCACACTAACACGGTTGATTTCCACTGATCATGGCTTCTGACCGGAATTCCGAGAATTTCTTCAAGAAACTGGTCACTAGTGAGCGAAATCTCCACAACCCTATAATGACAACTCCATATAAAGCCAGGCGTTCTGACCAAGTAAGCCACCTGTTACAATTACAGGTGAAACAGCTTTACAGCTTTAAATCCTTTTTTCAATTGTTGTATATGGGAACTAAATTTAATTTTTAAGATTAAGATTACAAACGAAGTCAAATTAGTATGAAAATGATGATTACCTTCGTAGAGTAAGCCAAGAAGTAATTTCATGTAGTTCATAGTTATTGTATATATATCCCAGGACTAAAATGCATAATTAGAAAACACAGTAGTTAATTGATCAGTTTGAAGTTAGCGATACTATTAATTACAAACTGATAAAATTCATAAACCTACTTATTAGCAGTTACACAAATTAGAGTGAAAATAAACATAACCAATGAGACCGACAGCGAACGTTAAAATCATCGACATTCATTTATACGCAATCCATATCAAATTACTAGTATAAACCATTTGATACAGGAACCGTGAACTATGAAGTATTATTTCCTTTCGATTTCTGATAAAATGGAAAGTTCTGAGAGAACTTGAAGTTGTCTATCATTAACAATTAACATCTGCAATTTTATTACAGAATACTTGTAGAAACAGCACCAACAGATATATTGTAAATAAAGGCACGTCGAAGAATTTAACGAACACGAATTAATAAGACTAAAGTTTAGTTAGCCATTTACTTCAATTAAACAGTGAGATGGCCATGAAGGATTCGTCACTGAACTTTCACAAGGATATCAACAAGTAATGACCTGTATGCAGTGTGAAAGTACGGTTGTATGTAAACTCGGAAAGAATGAGATTCCAGTTATTATCCAAATTTAGTTAAACTTGATAGTTATAGCTTGGAAGATTTAAATAATGAATATTATATAAGGTAATTGAAAGCGGGAATTCAACCACAGAAGCTGGTAATTTCAATGCTTAGATAAGAAAAAGGAACTAAAATGAACATAAGATTATTGAGAAGTCATCTACATAATGTAACTGATGTATATTGCTTGTTAGCAACAATCTAATCGTTAAGATAATATTAGTCATAATAATTGTTATTAGAGGGATTTGAGAGATGTAATCTTCCCGTAGATAAACTCTGGGTAACATGTTGGAAAGTGTTTTGGTAGTGTTACGTTTTGAGTTAAATGTTATAACTGAGACTCCATCCCGACCGTAGCTGCTACCTTGACGTGGTGGTCGGGCTTGCCTATCGTGATGACCCAACCGAGCTATACTGGCTGGAACATATGTTCCTGCAGGTCCTACCATGCCAGGCAGGTCGATTGGAGAACGGTGAGACTAAAAGCAGCTATCCAAGGTCTGAGTGCGAAGTCGTGCTGCTGACTGTAGAGGGGTGTGACAGCAGTAAGGTGTTTCCCTTGGACAACCAGCATCTGCAGCGATGCTGCCTTCTCACAAGGAAGGAAGGGTTAGAAAAGGTCGGCCCTAAAATTGTCACACCTCGCCCTACCTCACGGATTTCCGTCTCCGTCGGTAAGGGTGCCCACTAAGGGCCTTTAAGAACGGAACTAATCCTCAAAATACCTTTCATTGTCCCTTAGACTCTGCGGTCACGCACCCAGGTCTCCAAGACCAACACTAATCTATCTTCATTTTCAGGTCCCTCAAGAAACAACCTTCCACGGTGTGGGCAGTCGGGAAGTGACAACCGCCCTCATACCCATAACAGCACGAGAAGCCAAATTGGTCAATATCAAATCCTTCCTACACCCACACATACCTCTCTTCTCTCCACAACTAACTCTACTCACGTTCCCTTAACTGACTACACCGCTAATGCAAACGATGCGAGTTCACGAAACGCCATTCCTGGTCTCTTGAAACCTCGTTCTAGATTACATGTTGGAGCATTTAATGTACGGACATTGTGTCAAATAGGGCAATAGGCATCATTAGCTAGGACTTTAGAATCTCGTGCCATCGATGTGTGCTGCGTCTCGGAAACGCGCATACAGGATCCGAGTAGCATCATTCACTTGACCTCACCTTGTCAAAATAAAGAAGCAGCTCGATTTACTCTTCGTGTATCCGGTAGCCCTGATGATGCTTCCCGGAGTCTTGCTGGCGTAGGCATAGCATTGAGTCGTAGGGCTGAACAATCTCTCCTTGACTGGATCCCAGTAGATAGTTGCTTGTACGCTGTCCGACTAAACGGGACAGTAAGGACCCGGAAAGATAGGGACAATCGCCGTTGCCTCTTCATCGTATCTGCCTACGCCCCCACTGACTGCAGTTCAGACGAGGTTAAAGATGAGTTGTACAGAAAGCTTTCGGACCTCCTCCTAAAAGCTAGGCGCTCTGATATAGTATTAATGGCTGGTGACTTTAATGCTCAAGTAGGTAGACTAAGTGAAAATGAAAGACACCTAGGTGGATGTTATGGTGTTGCGGCTCAGAGAACAGACAATGGTGACCGTCTGTTGCAACTATGCTCAGACAACCGCATATTCTTAGCAAACACTAACTTTAGGCATAAGGAAAAACATCTGTTGACCTGGCGACCTCCAAAGTCGTCTCAACGTTGGACCCAACTAGATCACATCGCCATCAGCCACCGATGGAGGGGTTCGATAGAAGACTGTCGCTCGTTCTGGGGCACATGTTTAGATTCAGATCATGCCCTAGTGCGATCGCGTATTTGTTTTAAGCTTACTGAACGTAGGAAAGACACCGTAAGAAAGCCTCTTAGGGTTTCACTTAATTATAATCAAGCTAAGAATATATTTCAGGAACAACTAGAAAGACAGTTAGGCGACCATTTAAGCGATTCCCATCCGAGAGCAGGATGGAATGATATCAAAAAGGCTGTGGAAACAGCAGTGATATCTGCTAGTAAGGTTGACCATAAGGCTAGAATGAAGCCGTGGATCTCAGTAGCATCCACCGATCTGATGGATGCCCGAAAACTCATCCCACCTGGCTCTGAACATGATGAAGAACGAAGTCAACTTGGGCGCAGACTTATAAAAAGCCTACGTAACGACCGCGAACAGTAGTGGGTGGCGAAAGCAAAAGCGATGGAAAATGCAGTGGCGATCGGCAACAGTAGACAACTTTTCCGACTTATCAAGGAAACTGGTATTAGGAATCCTAGTGTAAGTGAGACTATCTCAGAAAATGACGGGACTATTATTTATTCTCAATCCAGGAGACTGGATCGATGGGCAGAACACTTTAGGGATCAGTTCAACTGGCCTCGAGCCACTCTTCGATTACCCACGATCTCCAGTCATCCTGAATGGCAAGTCGACGTAAGTCCCCCTAGTCTTAATGACGTCGAGAAAGCGTTAGGAAATCTGAAGCGAGGGAGACCTGCAGTTCCTGATAGACTGACCCCTGAGATATTTAAGGATGGTAGTCCAGTTTTAGCAGCTAGGTTGACTGAGATCTTAGGTGGAATCTGGGAACTGGACGTAATCCCATCTGACTGGTCTCAATCACTGATTGTCCCAATCTATAAGAAAGGACAGAAGTCCTCTTGTGACAATCACAGGGGAATAAGTCTAACTAATATAGTAACTAAAATATTGGCCTCAGTAATACTTCGACGCTTAACGAAAGCTCGTGAAGAGCAGACTAGAGAAAACCAGGCTGGTTTCAAACCCGGACGTGGCTGTATAGACCACATTTTCACACTATGACAGGTCCGGGAACACAGACACACATTTAGGCGTCCTACAATAGTTGTCTTCCTGGACCTAAAGGCAGCATTCGACTCTGTGAATCGTGAGGTTCTGTGGCAGTGTCTGTCATTGAAAGGTGTACCAAAGAAGTACATTAACCTCATACAAGCTCTCTACTCGAAAACCACTGGTCAGGTGAGTGCTTATGGCGAACTCTCAACGGAATTCTTTACTTCAAGTGGTGTCCGTCAGGGATGTCCACTTTCTCCATTCTTGTTTAATTTTATCATAGACATGCTCCTACAAATAACCTTATCCTCGTCTGCATTTTCAGGAGTAGACCTTTTACCAGGCGGCTCGCTTATTGACTTAGAATATGCCGATGACATTGTCCTACTAGGTGAAGACGCTGACAAAATGCAGAGTCTTCTGACCATCCTAAGCAACAATGGAAGCATGCAGTTTTCCCCCTCGAAGTGCAAAATGTTGCTTCAAGATTGGGTTTCATCGGCACCTGAACTAGTGATAGGGAGTGAAGTGGTCGAACGTGTAGTGCTGATAGCCTGGTGACTGACGAAATCTCAGCTAGGATACAGAAGGCTCGATTGGCTTTTGCCAACCTGCGTCACTTATGGCGTAGGCGAGATATCCGTTTGCTGACTAAAGGACGAGTGTACTGCGCAGTGCTTCGCTCCGTCTTACTTTATGGTCAGTGAGAGTAGAAGATATTAGTAGGTTACTGGTTTTCGATCATAGGTGTCTTCGAAGCATTGCTCGTATATCGTGGGACACCCGAGTGAGCAACGCTGTTATTAGGAATCAGGTGCTAGGTAAGAATGGCAGATCAATAGACGCAGTAGTGACACTTCATCAGTTGAGGTGGTTGGGACATGTGTTGCGTATGCCCAACCACCGACTGCATGGACGAGCTTTGTTTTGTAGTGTAGGAATAGGTCGGAAGAAAGTTAGGGGCGGCCAGACCAAAACATGGCATAAATCCATGAAGTCATTGACGAGTGGACTTAGCCATGTCGGTAATGGTCGACTACCTGGTTGGGGTCCGCGAGATGATAATAATCGATGGTTAGAGACCTTGAATGACATGGCTCAAAACCGTTCGCAATGGCGTCGGTGCATTTATGCATTGTGTTCTCTCAAATCCTAATCTTCTGGGTTCTTCAACAACTCTAGTTTTGACTTTCTAAACTTTTCTCACTGAATCATACTTCTTGAATAATATTTTCTAATCCTAACCTCTCCGATTACTCCTAACACCTTTACTACCTCTTCTACTATTGGATTTGAATTGACAATTACATCTATGTGCTGATGTGGTATGACGACATTAACTGATGTACTTACGTACGAAGTTCTACGTTGCATCTAATTGACTGACTGACTGACTGAGACTCCATCTTCAACATCTGCTTCATGAAGAAAAGAACACAACTGGAAATTTTACCAGTTTGTGGTCCAAAGATAGAAGAATAGTGAATGTTGGGTCTATTTATTTTATTTAGACTCATAAACATTGGTACAAATGGGCATAAAAATCTTCATGTGACACACAAATTATTGAATTTGTGAGTGGGTTGGGATACTGCCTGGGAGCTCAAGCCAAAGCAGATGGTTTCCTTAGGTAATCATTCGCCAGGCCTTCAACCTACAGATCTAATCTTTCAGGCAGTGGAGCAAGGTGATGAGATGCAGTCCCATGGTAGTCGGCGACCAACAACAGGTTTATGCATCATTCGGTCCCTCAGGATTCTGGAGCCTATATGCATCACTGACTTAGAATCAGGGTTCTCCACCCCGCTGCGTGAATCCTCCATACCCACCGTCTCGGGTGAAGTGCCGGATACCCGCTTTTTGTCTTCTCAATCTCGTAAACAAAACCCCGTTTATGAGAAGGCAGTGAGTAAGATTTGCCTGGGAGTGGCTATATACTTAAGGCCATATGAGAGCATTCTGAGGGAGTGGACTCTACACTCTCGGCCGTACCAGGGCATTTCGGGGTTCAAATATAAAGCACCCTTCAGTCTACAGTCATATTCAATATAAATAAAAATTACTGAGAGGGAAATCCAGTTGTTCATATAGAAAGTCATAAAAATCCAATAGATTTTATCACTGTTGACAAGATTCACTTATGACTTGAGTGAATAGGATAAAAATCCCTGAAACGATAACCGACTACTGGTTGTTACAATAAGTAGTTAAATAAAAACACAACATCACTATATAAACGACCAATATTTTTGACGTCTTTTATCCTGTTACCGACGATATACAATGATATCTAACCAAAGCAGAGTATAAGTGCGTTATAATACAAGAGTGTCAAATACGGAAGAGATGAGGTGTACAAATATCGAATAATATATATATTCTGAGGATTGAACACCTGTGATAAGGTTAATCATTCATTTCCAATCCACAGATCACAGTAATTTAGTGACTGAATACAGACATATGTATTTGATTTAGAGTATTTCGATTGCTTCCGATCAAAGTAAATGGAAAGGGATTCGAATTTAATACCAGATGGCTCATATGGGATGTTAATTCACTCGATGGAGTTGTTCATCCTGTTTAGCAGGTGCCCAGCTTACTACAATGTGAACTATTGGTTTCAGAATTATAAATTGAAAAATATTCACAATAACTGACCAAAATTGTGACATTAAAAGATGGAAACATTTATTATTGGTTTGAGCAAAGGTTTCATAGATGGATTCGTAGATAACGTGAAATCAATAAATTACAGTGTTTCATTTGTACATTCGTTTTTTATCTTCATCTACATACCGATGATTGAACGACTGTATACATTCATGCGATATTTTCAAGTGTTAATTTAGTATCTTTAACTCATACATTTCCGCTTATTTGAAACCCAATAGTTTTACTTAATTTATCCATTCACATTGTAGTTATAAGTGCAGTATATTGAAATGATATAACATTCGCAACAAATCACTGAACTGTTTATCTCCTTCGCAAATGAATGGTATACTTCGAGGAGAAAGAAAATTTGTAACTAGAATATGAAATATCTGGTTGGCAGAAGACTCCAGGTGCCCTTACTCAGTTAACGAAATAATACTAACTTTACCTAACCATAAAGGTGAGCATGATTTATAATCAGTTAACCGGTTTTATGACTCTTCTTGATTGAATAACCCAGTATCTCATTAATCTGGTCCTAAAAAATTTATTAATCATTCACTTTACATTTACCATTTTAGTCTGTTGGTCATCAATACATTTACTGTCAGCTAAAAACAAAATATTATATGAATTAGCTAGAAACAAAGTAACAGATACTTTTCTGAAATTAAACTAACCTTGTATGAACTCCATTCTATTGAGCTAGATAAAAGAGTTTTTGGTATAAGGTTTGGATTGACAGCCACTTCAACTCCTGACTACAACATAGAACGGTTAACAAAAAATGAACCAAATGACCACGAAAAAGTGTAAATAGTAGTGTGAAAATACCAAAAGCTGGAACATGGTACAATTATAGAAACTTAAAATAGTGGCGAGACTGTAATTTACGGATGACCTTTAAGTGATCCTATAGAGACCTTAAGAAACTTCCACTTACTAGTGTTAATGTAAAATTATAAATTAGTATGAAGAATCAGGATTATGTGATAGGAGTTAGAGTTTTGTCGTAAACTGACATAAGCTAAGATCTCAAAATGCTATTTAGTCATAAGGCTGGATGGATTTCATGCAAAAATTCAAGTTTCTATGTGCTAAATCAGATTGATTAGTCCCATCCAAATAAGCGTAAACAATACACAGCAATGTCTTAAATCATATTCCTTACGAGTCTGTCAGGCAAGGAGTCAAAGACGTCATTGTTGACAGATTACAGCGGGGACTAAATTTCAAACAGGTTTTTATTGAGCATTCAAACAAGACTTCACGTAGTCGCCTATGTTATACAAAGTCAGAAACTTAGGTATACCATTGTTTTTTTCGATTACCTTGACCCATTTAACACCAAATATAGTGTACCAGAATGTTACTTTGTATAGTTAAGTGGACACGTAGCGCTCACAGACGAGCAAATAAAATGGTAAAATCACCCTTTAGGTATTATATGGTTCAGTGAGTTCATACTATTAACGCTTGAAATGTATCCGTTTCCTTAATTAAAGAAGGTTGCACAAGACCGTGAATTGACTGAAGTTAGATATTAACAACGTTACATACTGGCTCAGGGACCCAGAGGTTAGGCGTTTGCGCGCGAGACTGAAGGTCCTGGGTCCGAATCCTGCGAGTTGCAAGAGTCGTGGATGCTCACTGGTGATGAGTCCCATACTAGGACGAACCGGCCGTCCAGTGCTTCCAGGTTGCTAATAGTGGTTTCACACTAATCGGTTCATGACTTCAAAAAGTAACTCAACAATCTCCACAACCCCATACTGCAAATTAAAGATGTGTTTAATTTCAAAGTATTGCGTTTCCCACTCATTGTGCTAAATATGTTATGCTTGATCATAACGTAAACAGCCTTCACAGATTACTGTGTTACATTATCCCAACAAACTAATATCTTACTTATCATGTATTTGATGTCAGTCAGTTGCAACGTAGAACTTCGTACGTATGTACATAAGTTCATGTTGCCATACCACATTATTAGCACAGAGACGCAAATGTCAAATCAAATCCCATAGTGATAAAGATGGTAGAGGTATTAATGTTATAATAAAGAAGACTAGGGTTTAAGATATTATTCAAAAAATATAATTCAGTGAGATAAGGTTAGAAAGACAAAGGTAGAGGTGCTGACGAATCCAGAAGATTAGGATTTGAGAGAGCTCAAAGAGTGGATGCACCTGCACCATTGCAAACGATTTTGAGCCATGTCGTTCAAGGTCTCTAACCATTGATGACTTTCGTCTCGCGGACGCCAACCAGGTAGTCTACATCTACCAACATGACTCAGTCCACATGTATTTGATGTAAATATTAAGAGAGAATAGACAAACAAGTAATTAGGTTTGCGTTAATTATAGGACGAAAATATTGGTTATAGATAATTCTGATTCATTGCATTTGCAAAAGCATTAGTTTAACAGATTCTAGCTATGTATTTCTGACGATGAAAATAAAATTAGTCATAATATTTCAAGCCTTTTTGAATTTTCATCACCTAAAGTACATTAGAGTAACTCTTAACGTGATCATCTACTAATCAGTTCATTGAATGCAGATTTCAGTAACTGTCAGTGATGTAAGAAAGGATATAAGCTGTAAAGACAATGAAAAATATCAGAATATTTCTAAAAAATACTAAAGATAATTTGTCCTATATATATGCGGGAAGTTTTATTGATCAAAAGCCAAACGTAAACGGCTATTTATAATATATAAACTGACTAGCTTGTTGAGGTTGTCTACCTTTTGTAGTATTTGTATAACCGTGATTATAATCCACATAATACTTATTAAACATGGTAGGATTTTGAGCTGAATGAGTGATGGAAATTTTTGAAGAATGATTGAGTACGTATCTGTTTATTTGAAATATATAAAGGCATTACCATCTTGAAGAATCATTGTTTTTGAACCAATGATTTCTCTAAATATAAAGCGCAGAATTTAGCAACACTTATACCGGTAATTCAGATTGATGTACAAGAAAAGGGTGAGCATTGAAAATACACAGGCAGTCTAAACTCACAGTATCTAACATTTACATCTTTATGCAGACAAGATAAAATAAAAGATTCGTAATGATACCAAAAAGGTTTTTTTGCTTTGGTGTCATTATAAGAAACGAGAATTTGCAATTTAGATGTGCCATGGAAACACGTATCACACCTATAATTACGAATAGCTTGTAAAAGAAGGCGAACAAGAATTATACGAGCAGTCGTTTTTACCAATCACCAGAAAAAAAAGATTTAAACTTGCAGCAAATAATCGCAGTATAAACGAAGGATTATATTTAGGACAAAATTAAAAAAAAACTTCAAATTAAAAAGGGTTATGTATGTGAGGAAAAATACATATGTTTTTAATATCACGGCATGATAATTACCCGATTCCAGTCAAAATATAGGTGATGCATCGCGTAACCGGAATCACGCCATATACGGAAAAATTCACTGCCAGGATAAGGGAGAGGTATAACTATGAAATCATTATAGCGACCTTGTTGATCCACCTTTTCAGATGAACTAATTCTATAACATCAAACGAAATGAGACTAGCATATATAAATATTGTAAAAACCTAGATAAAACACTAAATTAAGTTAACGAAAACCAAATTTTAAACGGTTCTAGCCCATTAACTGACTAACATCAGTTCATGACGAAAACTATACAAATCTTCACCTAAGCAAATAGACCAATTTTATAAATAATATTGACAGACTCACTATGAAGTAATGTGATGATAACATTAGCTGACAGAATAAAGCTTAAAATCATGTACGAATACAGTACAAACAGGATGTACAGAACCATAGACAATTTTATATCAGGATTCCAAAATCTATAATTTGATTACAAATTTTAGTCACATTTACTGGCCCAGTGATACTATCCGGCTGACTAACCAAAACAGATGAAGCAACGTTCGAATTGGCTATTCATTGGTTTAAATTTGAATGTTTTGATCACTAAAGTAGAAAGCATCTGAAGTTGGTATGGTTAAGAAGTCTACAGCTCAGAGGCAGCTATTAGGAACATAAATAAAAAACGGGATATTATGTACTGACAACTAGAACAGTCCTATAGAATGACAATTTCTCCAAGGATTGCAAAATAATGATTCAGTCGTTAATTCGGCCTGCCAGAAAAAGTATACTGCCTTGCTCGAATTTTCAAGGGCCAAGAAGAGCGTTTTCCAAGGACTGCACAATTTTGTTGTTAATAAAAGGAATTAAGTGAAAATTATAAAACAACTTACGGAACCCAACATTTTATTTTCCTATACTCCAACATGAAATCACAAATATAGGTGACATTTAAACGACGGATTAATTCACAATCATCATCACGTAGTTTTTCTAAACTTTGACGTCCGTTTTCTGTCCTTGAGAAGTATAAAAGCATTTTGTAAGTGGGACATATATCATCCGAATATAATGGTGAGAAACGATAAAGACTGAATTCATGAAAAACTAAACGAGTCAAAGATAAAAGCTCCAAGGAGTGGGATAGTGATGGGGAAATGAAGTAACTTAACAACTATATAGATATTAACAGAATGGATTATAACTTTCTGGAACTTACAAAATGAAGTAGAGCTCGAAACTGTGATCCATAGGTTGAAATATTTTTGAATACTATTAATATCTCTGCTGATATGGGATTTGAATTGACAATTTAATCTCTCTGTGCTAATGAGACATGGCAACTTGGACTGGTGTACGTAGGTACGAAGTTCTACGTTGTAACTGACTGATCGACCGTAAGTAGAAAACGACCAGACGAACTTACTATATATTTACTTCATACTTGTCTAATGCATACCTTGTGATCCACTAGATTCAAATGAACCACAATCTAGGCGCTGAGTGGGATTCCTAGTCAATCAATAAATACGCTGGGAAATGAGGATATGCTAGCAATTTGTACAGAAAATACACATTTGGCACTCAAAACAAGCAGCCACACGTGTGTGGATCAGTGAGACTACTCAGCTGTCTAAACCGAAGTAGATACAAAGTGGTTAGACCGTGATATACAGTAGATGAAAGTCCAGTCAGTGTTTTGAAGGAAAATGAGGAGCACCGCGTCAAAAGCTATCGTCATCTAAAACTGAAGGTAGTAAAAGCTAGGTGAAAATACATTCCCGGCAGAAAATACTTTCAACATTGTTAAAACAGCTAAGACTCACTCAAAACTTGTATCTGCAGGTTCTCCTACTGAAGAGTTACTGACATGTCCATCAAAAGTAAAGCCTGTGTAGTTATAACTTGAATACAAAGGAAAAGTAACAAACCTGCAGCTGTGGCAACTTGGCGACCGTAGAATTCTAAAGGGCCGCTTAAAGTACTACACCGACATACATTCTAAAACCAAATGATACACAGGAATTACTAACAGGGAACAATTTTCGGATAAAGTGTTTGATATAAACTATCAAACTGAACTAACCTTGTTTTTAAAGGAAAACGAAGGGACAACAAATCTTGTTCTGCAACGAGCAAACTTGGATTGAAGCATAAGCTGACCTAGATCGGCTACTGATCTATTCAAAATAATTTTACATATACTGTTCATACGAAGACAAATGTCGAGTACGCGGGACAGAAATAAACGGTGGGTAGTGTCCACACATATAACCACCCAGATTTTCCAAAATCTTGGCAAATAATAACATTTTAGGCAACCTACTTCAGCAGGACAGTCCTCAAGTGATAGTGCGTTACAGTTATCATTTATATTATATATTTCCTAGACGTCTCATTGCACTTAAGACTGATCTATCAGTTACCTTTGGGTAGCTCCTTAAAACTTGTTCGTTAAAGTCAGCGTCCAGCATGAAATTAAGCAGTTCAGTAACACTTTCCTCCGTAATATTCAACATTTTTACGAACCCTAGGTCAAACACAATGAATTCAAAAATAGTGCTGACTTACTGACCTACAAAAATCAAGAAGTTGAACCGAAGCTTGTCATCAATAACTATGTAACTAGAAAATGACGCTGTAGTTCCTTATCTTTGCAAAACTAACTCGATGATATTTCTTCTTAACTGGTATAGTTACTTCACTTATATATTTATATAGACCATATTCCAGTTTCATATATGCTACAACTTTCGGGATGTTGGTATAGAGAACATACAGGTTTTTCTGAAAGTTCTAAAATTTTCTTGTTTACCTTTCTTTGTGCTTGTGCCCGAATGAGGATAGTGTTGGTTTGGGTGAAAAAGTTGGACATTTTGAATAGTCCTAGCTATTAATAATTCCCAGTAATTGTATACATCCTGATTCAATAAATAAACATTCAAGTTCATCATTGGGAACCTCAAAAGACTGGATATAGGAGCACTTGGGGTTTAGTAGTCATTATCTTTCAATCATAAACGTGCATTAGCTGATGCTTTCTGATTTCACCTCTAAGCATCGGCTTGGTGAACCCTATGTAAGGTGAGACATATCGTACTTCCAGATCATTGTCAAATTATCACTTTCCATTTTTGTTAACCCTCTAAGTAAAATAGCTTGATGCTCATATGGATAATCTGTGGCATCTGTAAATGCTCTACGTTAATATGAATATTGCAACCGTCATTTAGTCCAATGCTCAGAAACCGTATGAATTGCTTCCAGCAGAAGAGAACCAACAGGTTCAAACGATATGAAACAGCTACAAAAACTATTTTTAAATGATGAGCTTGTACTTGACTTGACAACAGAAATGTTCTCAACACTAAGTAGTCACTGACTAACAGAGGTTAATTGAAAACTCTTACAAAGTTTATTCCTCACATGTTTGTTATTTGAGAATAAATTATTATTGTTATTAAATATGCACCACAAATTAAGAAGTTCATATTTGTTTTGGAAAAATACTTAGTCCACAAAATGGAGTTTCTAGGTAATCGGGATCAATTTCTTAAGTCTTTTGACTTCCACTACTGATAATCTTTTGATACTCAGAATCTTCGTTAGCTTTGTGGATTCCAGCGATAGTCAAATGACAACTCAGAACTGTTAATGGTGGCTCTTCATACTGGCGATAAAACATCAAGCTTTGAATAGCGTCAGTGCCTATTTGTGTACTTTAGGATGGTCTGAGACCCAAAGATAACCTAATTTATTTGCAATACGAAAGCCTGAACCAAACAATGATGGGCAACTAAGAGTCAGAAGATAACCAAGCAGTAAAATAATTACAAGTCATCATTTGGAGACGTGAGTTTTGTTTTCTTTGCCACTGAGTGGCAAAATGTTAATGTATCGAAATCAGTTAAACTGATTACCTTCACTCCCTGCCTCGATGTGATAACCGTTAAGGCTGAAAAGTCAGAGTATTTTCCTTTGTGATTAAAAGAAATTATACATTATTTACATTATAAGCGGATACTCAACAGTCATATGAAATGAGTGATTGTTGCGATCCTGGGTTTATTCAGACCCATCCACTCTCTCTGTGTCAAACAAGGTTGCAACGTAAAACCTCGTACCTACGCACATCAGTTCCAGTTGTCATACCACATTAGCACAGAGGTTCAGTTGTCGGTCCAAATCCTAACTGGTAGAGGTTAGCAAACGGATATCTTGCCAACGCCCTGAGTGATGCAACTTGGAGAAGGCCAATCAAGCTTAGATATCGTCAGTCACCGGGCCAACAGCACTGATGAGATTCCCCACCACTAGATCAGATGCCGATGCAATCCAATCCTGAAGGAACATTTTGCATTTCGACGGGGAGAACCGCGTCCCGAATATGCTTGCCTTGTTGCTGAGGGTGATCAGAAGAGTTTGCATTTTGTCATAGTCTTCACAATTAGATCTAAGTCATCGGCATACTCCAGGTCAACGAGTGAGTCTCCTGGTAGAAGGTTGGACGAAGATAATGTTATTTCTAAAATCATGTCAGTGATAAAGTTAAATAAGAATGGAGAGAGTGAACAGCCCTGACGGACATCACATGAAGTAATCAATTCCGATGACCTCTTCATGTGTTGTCTATGCCATAACGCAGATATAATCAGTTACTGTTGCTAACACTGCGGTAACATTTTGACGTAGCAGTCAAGTCTCTGGGTTCAAAACACTCAAGTTCTTTAAAAGCTGCTTTCACCTGAAGAGTCACGGTTAAAATCTTTTCTACAAGTCCTTTAGCATTTGCGTTATCTTCGCATACATCGGTTTAAGATGACGGTAAAATCTGACAATCCTGAAAGAAACTCCCAGCCATTTCATCAGATCTGGTTAACCTCCAATGATCTTTACACTTGAGGAATCGGCCAACTGGATCCGCCAGTGAATATATAATCCAAGAAAGTATGTAGCAGGATTAATTGCTATGATTTACTTTTCAGGTTGTTGTAAAGGCTTTTTGAATGAAATTACTGCTTTTTTTCATGCAATGAGGACGATCACATACCACTTGAGTAATGAAGGCTTGCGGAGCATTCCCGTGGCCAAAAATCATACGCATAAATATACACAGGGAAAGTGGAGCGCTAATGGCGATCTCCGGGATGCTTTCTGGAACAACTGGTGGTATGGCAACATGCCTGGGTGAGGTTAACTGTCGAGAAAACATAGATGTGGTTAGTAATTGATAAAATCTTGCAAGTGAGCAAAAGGGTATGTATTGGGCACACAACAACTGTAAATACCTAAAACTTTAATACTTTGGAAAAGCCTCCTGACGAAACATATATGCAACGGTAACGTAACGGGATCGGTCTCTACTAACATGATCCTTGAAGCTGAACATGCAGTATCTGAGAAAACTTACATCATTCATTGAACACTTTTAGTAGGTCAGAGAGGTAAACATAGGTCTTTGGGAGAGAAATTCCCAAAATACTATTTAAAAAAATAGAAGAATGAGGACAATCTAGATGAAGAGTGTTTATGAGTGTCATGAGACTCGCTAATTGTTAGTATTGTCATCTCTCCAGATAACTAATTTAATCTATCGCGCTTATTATCTCTGTTTCCTTTCCCTAGCCCACACTTCAGTCCTCTTGGACAATCTTCGCTCCCAATTAATAAACTTTATTGTCTATTTATTTACCTAGTTCTGAAATCTTCTTATTAGCATTAGACTTTTACCCTGATTATTCTCCACATTGCAACCAACTGATCTCTGACCGGTTAACGTGATAGATGCTGGTATCCAGAGACCCTACTGCCCTGAAACGAACGTAGTCATTCGAATCACGGAACATGCATACTCCTAAACAACTGCCGACTGCCTATAATTACTGTAGCGTAGCGGCTAGATCACCATCCATTGAAAACTACCAAGTACCTAGGACCTTACCGAAAGAACAATAATCGAGAGCAAAGGAATCAACTGGTTTATACTAGTTCGCGAAAAGGACATTGTATATTGGGCAGACAGTCTCGAAATTTGAGTAAAACAAGTAACTCTATAATGCAGCAAATTTAATTGGATTCACAATAACAGTTTATGTTCGGCTAAATATTTTAATTCGCTTCTGTAACATGGAGTATGATGGCTAAGTCTGCCACGTCTTTGACCATACCAGACCAGCAAAATCGTTCTGCTATCAACTCCACGGTATCTCGGATCCCTGGATATTAAATTTTCTGTAGCGGATTGAAGTGTTTCGACGCGACTTTACGACCTCTACGCTCAGATGTGTCACACAGTAGAGTTTCCGTAACCACTCCCATTTATTTGATCTATCGTTTTGGGTTTGTTAATGATAACTCGTGCTGAAAATCAGACTCTTCTTTTAGAAACGGAGAAAGTCTATAGCCGACTGCTGATAATCTGCTCAAGGGAGATAAACGAGGCCCAGCGTCCGCAACTGCATTGTTTGCCCCAGAAATATTTTGTATATCTGAAGTAAACTAACAAGTGTAATCCAACTGTCGGGAATCTCGAGGAAAGTAGTTGTCCGAAGACGAGCTATGATAAAAAGTTAAAAGTTTATGATCTGTAAAAAGAGTGAATTCTCGGCCTTCGGCAGCGGGTTAAAAGTGCCATACAGAACAATAGATAATTTCTAGTTGCTTACCGAAAGTTGTATATCCCAGTTTTCGGTCCTGTGACCGTCTCAAGAAGGATGCTTTAAGTTTCCAGTTATTATGTATTCATTTTAGTAAGACTTCTTTTACTGTTGAATCAGCTGAGTCTATCGAAATTCCTATGGGTACTTGAGCATGGAGGTTTGCTTGTTGATACATTAGTTGACTGTGAAAAATTCTTTGTTCACAGTGTCTTCCAAGTAAAAGATTTTCGTATTCCTATGTAGTCGGTCAATTAAGGGTCTCATGAGTAACGCGTAGTTTAAAAGGAACTGTCGATAGGTACTTGTCAGTCCATTATACATGTAAGGTTGCTTGATAATTGTCGGTTCTATGTAATCAAGAATGGTCACTATATAATTTAGTAGATAATGAATTCCTTGAGCCTCAATAATATGACGGTTCCTATTTGACATATTTTAATGTTTACAGCAATGCCAAAATTGTGAATTTGTTGGAATAAAAGTCTTTATGTTGAGGTGTGGTTAAGCATCTGTCATTATATGCGTTTACAAATTCGAGACCTATGGAATTACCGCCAGTGTATTTCTAAAGAGTTTGGGCAGAATTCCTTATGCTAAATGTCATACACAGAACTTTGTAATCTAAACGGAGTAATGGTAGCTGTTTTAGGAATGTCTTCTGTAGCCATAGGGATTTGTTTATACGTTAGCCAAGAAGATTTTTGAAATGACAGTTTAATCTTTGAAAGCAACTGTCAAAACGTGGATATTTAGTTAGGTGTAACGATATTGCGTTGTATCCGAAAATAAGCATTTATTAGAATTTGGAGGACAGATTCACAATCAAGTTACCACAAGATCGGAAAGTTGAAGATATTTAATAAACTTTGTTCAATTCCATAAATAATACATCACACTTTTT